TTAAAAAAATAGAGGATATCGGCAATACAATCACTATTTTACTAGTAAAAATTTTAATAATCCCTATCCAGGCGCCCTAAACTCTCCAGATGTAATCTGTAGGGCCTATCTGCCTATCTTTCTAATCTACGCCGTTCCCTTTTGATCTGCTCTGCAATTAATGCAGATGGGACAGGGCGATCAGCGGCGACTTGTTGGATATTGTTGATGTTACTTGGTCATCTTAAAAAGTCAAGTAGTGTTTACAACAAGCCCCCTCACCCCCCCCCCCCACACCTCCCAGAAACTTCACCGATTTCAAACATATTTTTTCTTTAATTAAATACCGCAACCAAAGTTTTCCCAACTTTTTATTTTAAATATTTTTTTTTTTCTTTGATGTTACTTGGTCATCTTAAAAAGTCAAGTAGTGTTTACAACAAGCCCCCCCACCCCCCCCCCACACCTCCCAGAAACTTCACCGATTTCAAACATATTTTTTCTTTAATTAAATACCGCAACCAAAGTTTTCCCAACTTTTTATTTTAAATATTTTTTTTTTTCTACAAACAAAAACATTACATCTTCTTTCCAAGACCCCAATTTTGGAAGAAAAAAATGGTTTCATGGTGATCGGGAGCTACCTCTGCTCCCGGGGGCTCCCCGTCCCACTGTTACGCTGCGGTTAACTGGTGGCATGGTGGTCACTGGTGGGGAACATGAAAAATAATTCTTTAATATTTGCATACCCTTATGTTGATTTCATTCTTTGAAGGATCACCAGAGGTTCCGTATGGGCATTATACATTAGGACTAAAGCACCAGAATTTTACTAAATTTCAGTTTCCGTGGTACTCGTAGCAAACTGCAAAACTATTGTTATTTTATTTGCGAAGAGGTTTACCACACCCCCCTTAAACTTAAACTTAAACGGTTTTACCCATTCTATTTTTACGTTTATCCGATTATCGGATATTCCAAAAATGACACAAGGTAGGCTATGACTCAACAAGTTCTGTTTACAACAAAAAGTAAGTAAATACATTTGTATTCAATTGTTTTGTATAGCCAACAAGGTAGATTTAGTCAGCATTTATATGATTAATATGAAATTAAGTTGATTATAATCACTATCAGTCCACCACATAAATGCGAATCGGGTTAACCAGTTGCCGATACGATTTGTTGTTCCACTGCCGCGGCGTAGTTGGCCTACTTTCATTCACAACCCAGCTAATGCTAATTCTAAGTCGGGAAGCTACGGTTAGGATATAGTAGACTAGTAGCGCATTCAACTGGACTACTACTATTATTTATATCATCTTGACATATTTTTTTATTAAGAAAGCACAACTAACTTTCTGTCTCTCCCTCTCCCTCCCCCCCTCCCCGTCACGTGGTTTTCACACCCATCCAAAGATCTCCACCCTCCCACGCTCACACGTAAACAACAAACTCAAACAAACACTCGGTAGCCTATTACATACCATAAAGGCTATACTATACGTATTTTTTCCGTTGATGATCTGCCTAAGGAGAATTTGATTGATGTGTTAGGGGAGTTTGGGGGGGGGGGGGCAGGGCATTTAAAAACACTAAAAGTAGACATGTTGGCACCCAGCGCCAGTTCTAAATCCGGCCAGCCCTACGGAGCCTAACCGAATTCACGCTGTTTTTGTGCCCTTGGGTTTGGGGGGGTTGGGGGGGGGGGGGGCAGTGCATTTAAAAACACTAAAAGTAGACATGTTGGCACCCAGCGCCAGTTCTAAATCCGGCCAGCCCTACGGAGCCTAACCGAATTCACGCTGTTTTTGTGCCCTTGGGGTGCCTTTGGTCCCATATTATTTTCGCTCCCTGGATTCTTCAAACACACATATTGTTCAACATTTTTTCCCCCCACAAACTGAGACATTGATAAGGAAATACCATTTTTGTCAGTTAAGACTATAATTATATCACTAACATCTACAGTTTCTTTGTTTAGATATAGAGATGGAAGTAATGTCACTTTGATCAAGGTTGGGGAAGTAGCGTTGAAAAAAAAAAGTTTGGGGGGGGGGGGTAATCTGGGAAGTATTGTGAACCCTTTCCCATAAAATGTTTGAGAAATTTAAAATCAAGGAATTCATGTTGGTGAATAATTGACTTCAATTTTTTTGGGGCATCAACAGATACAACAGAAAATATGCTTGGAAATATTATGTCGTCTCTTAAATAGATTATTTTTGTAGTATTATTATATAAATCCTTACAAAAAATTGTAAATTAATATTAATCTTGTTTTATAATTTGCATTTAAACCATTTTTAAAATGACTTCATTAATTAATAAATATTAATGGAATGCAGTCCAAATAAGTTCTGATACCCTAGCACTCTTTTCCTCATAGTAAGGGGCCGCATATTTGCGCAACTGAAGAGTTTTGTTTGTTTTTATCAAAAGGGGGTGGGGGCTGCGAAAATCGAGACCCGCTTGGGTGGCAATTGGGGAGGCCTTTGGTAAAACTCATCCTTCTACGTTATTAATAAGGCATATTTAATTACTGATCTCAAGAATAAAAAAAATTGATGATAGCATTTATATTAAGAAAAATAAATTTGAAACAGATTTCCCATGTCACTCAATGTGTGATGATTAAGTTAAGAAAGATTCTCTAATGATTGAAAATGAATGGAAATGTGTTTTAATTACAAGGGGCATATTTATTTTAAGCACATGGATAAATATTTTAAGCACGAGCTCTTTAAAAATATTAATATTTCAGTAAAGGAATTTATATAGTTGGGAAGGTAGGTTTAATCAAGAAGATTTAAAATATTTTGAATCGAAAACAATCGCACATTTTCCTTAAATATTTGGAACATCAAACATGAGATTTGATTTCACTATTTCACTAAGTTTAATTAGATACAGTTTGGTTTACTACATAGTACTCTTTTAAAGCAATGTTTTGAAATAAAATTTAGATTGTTTAAATAGGTCCATACTTTATCATTATTGTTGTACACATTTTTTCTCCATGGGGGGGGGGGGGGGGTGGATTTTTTTTTTTTT